TGTTGATTTCTTTATACGTTTAATGTTAGCTTCTGATGACTAAAATAGTGTTGATTTCTTTATACGTTTATTTTTTTTTTTTTATCGAAGTGTTCTCTAACCTCGAGTGCACTGTTCAGTGGTCGACTTCTGGTACACTATAGGCGGGTGGAAGCCTCTAATTAGTGACTCCTGGTTTTACACTAGCTAATTAAGTTGATGAGAGGAGACGCATGAAATCGATGCTGAAGTGGTACGGTGATATCGCTCCCTCACACTCTGTGGCGCTGTTTCTTTCTTCACAAGTCATCTAAATCAGTCATCTATACAGTCATCTCGGGCTGTCGATATGGTCATTTAGTCATCGAAATCAGTCATCTATACAGTCATTAGTGCAGTCAACTTGAGCTGTCGATATGGTCATTCACTCTCTCAATGAACCTGTGGTCTACACATCCGTGTATATAGTCCTTTCACCCTGTCAGTCAACAGTTGACTTTTTATACAGTCATTACCACCAAATTACCCATCTTTGTAACATGTATATAGTGGCGGGGTATAAAGTAAACTCCATTGAACTTTAGCCTGCTGAGATCCGCTATTGGACTACCCGCTATCCTTCGATGGCGTCAGCATTACATTAAGGAGTCATAATTACACTTCTGCTAATGTAGCCTTTACCCTATGCTGGTTTACCATTAACCTAAGTTGGAGTCATCATGTCTATGAAAGTCACCTTTACCCAGCATAGAGTCGCCACTCCCCATTTGTTGGCGTCACCACTCCCCATATGTTGGAGTCACCACTCCCCATATGTTGGAGTCACCACTCCCCATATGTTGGAGTCACCCACCACTCCCCATATGTTGGAGTCACCACTCCCTACATGTTGGAGTCACCCACCACTCCCCATATGTTGGAGTCGCCACTCCCTTCATGTCGGAGTCACCTCTCCCCATATGTTGGAGTCACCACTCCCCATATGTTGGAGTCACCACTCCCCATATGTTGGAGTCACCACTCCCCATATGTTGGAGTCACCCACCACTCCCCATATGTTGGAGTCACCACTCCCCATATGTTGGAGTCACCACTCCCCATATGTTGGAGTCACCACTCCCCATATGTTGGAGTCACCACTCCCCATATGTTGGAGTCACCCACCACTCCCCATACGTTGGAGTCACCACTCCCCATATGTTGGAGTCACCACTCCCCATATGTTGGAGTCACCCACCACTCCCCATATGTTGGAGTCACCCACCACTCCCCATACGTTGGAGTCACCACTCCCCATATGTTGGAGTCACCACTCCCCATATGTTGGAGTCACCCACCACTCCCCATATGTTGGAGTCACCCACCACTCCCCATATGTTGGAGTCACCCACCACTCCCCATACGTTGGAGTCACCTCTCCCCATATGTCGGAGTCACCACTCCCCATATGTTGGAGTCACCACCACCCTCTGTTAAAGTCACCACTACCCTAACATGGGTGGGGTTACCACAAACCTCTACTGCCTCCATCGGGATGAGTGGGTCACTAATGGGACCCAATGAGCCGTGTTGATCCAACATGAGCCATGATGACGGCTCATCAAAGTGGCCCTGCACTCCTCGGCTGGCACCAGACTCGTGTCATTGTCTGCGGCCCATTATCCCACCCCAATGAGCCGCTGCCTGACGATTGGCCCGCTATTTTTATTTGACTGCCGCCTAGCGCCAAACCTGGCTGATTGGGTCATGCAAGGGTGGCTTCCCTTTGATAACAGTCCCGTCATAGCTCTTAGAATAGATTTTTTTAAAATTAGGTTGAATTGTGTATTGTTGGAGTGATGCTGATCTGGTTGGAGATACAGGTTGTCACCAGGGGTTGTCACTACAGGTTGTCAGTAGAGGTCAGCTTGTCTCGTGTCAGACCTGACAGTCATGGGCTGCTAAAGGACAAATTAGTCGGCATAGAAAGCCGTTGTTCTGTCACGCCTCTCTGGGCAGGGATCCGACCCTACGTCTACGGTGGAGGATGGTTGGGTGGGGGGGGGGGGGTGGCGTACGGGTACCCGCTGACACCGGACAATACCCAGGGAACGGCCGGCACGGTAGGAGAGTGATACGTCACAATCCGTTGTAGGATAAATGCATCAGATAGGAAACAGCTAACCGTGAAAAGTCTTCGCTGTTGGACATACGAGAAACAGCTCTGTGTGAATTAGTGAGTGTCTCTGTGTGAATTAGTGAGTGTCTGTGTGATATCCTTATGAAGAAAGGTCAAAACGTCACAAGTTGACCATCTGTGCAGGCCCTAAACGACGCTAACACTTGCCATAATATGTTGTAATCAGTACACCATATATGTTCTCCATGGCATACAACTACCATGTTTTCCCCACCCATCACACAATCTAAAACAAATATATTTTGCGTGTATCTAATTAAAACGTAGAAACTCACTCATATACAATCAACTGTGGTTTTAACCCAAGATGGCGGAGGGTGATCTTCTTTTCGACTGCGCATGTCTCTTGAATGACAGATGTCACATGTCTCAAGTTAATCGATGCTGATTGGTCAACAGTCCTGGCTACATGCGTACAATCACCCCATGCCCGGCACTCAGCGGGCACCGTGCCCATCAGACCTACCATTATGTTTCCTGTAAACATGACTTTACCGTCCACCATCATGCTGTGACCTTCAGCTGACCTTGTCTTGACCAGAGGACGTCTGGGTGACAAAACCGCTAACTTGTCGATTGGACGGGGGACAAGGGGTGAACTGATTGTATGGGTGGCGTACCCCCTCCCCAGCCACACACAGCCACACCCTGCTACCCTCTGTATAGAGCATGCAACAGTTTAAGTAGACATAAAGAGAAGTCTGAAGGTTTAATTGTAGGAATTGTTCTTCTCAGTCTCTGGTCCAGGCTCTATTCAACTGTCAGTGATGTCGCTAGTTGAGGGGGGGGGGGATGTTTCATGGCTTGCTGCTGGTGATAAGATCGGGGGATGTTCGTGTGTGGACGTGGGGTCAGCGTTTGGGGGTGAACTGGGTGGGAGGGTATAAACGTGGGGTTATCAGGTAGGTACGTGGGTTAGGGGCATGTTAGGACCCGGGGGTGTACTGAAAATGTGAGGGACTAGGGTTGGTCGGGTCGTGGGGTAGGGGCATGTTAGGCCGGGGGTAGGGGCATGTTAGGACCGGGGGTAGAGGCATGTTAGGCCGGGGATAGGGGCATGTTAGGCCCGGGGGTAGGGGCATGTTAGGACCAGGGGTGTACTGAAAATGTGACAGAATAGGCTTGGGACGTGGGGTAGGGGCATGTTAGGACCCGGGGGTAGGGGCATGTAAGGACCAGATGGTAGGGGCAAGTTAGGCCCGGGGGTAGGGGCATGTTGGGACCGGGGTAGGGGCATGCTAGGACCCGGGGGTAGGGGCATGTTAGGACCGGGGGTAGGGGCATGTTAGGACCAGGGATGTACTGAAAATGTGAGGGACTAGGGTTGGGTCGGGTCGTGGGGTAGGGGCATGTTAGGACCGGGGGTGTACTGAAAATGTGAGGGACTAGGGTTGGTCGGGTCGTGGGGTAGGGGCATGTTAGGCCGGGGGTAGGGGCATGTTAGGACCAGGGGTGTACTGAAAATGTGAGGGACTAGGGTTGGGTCGGGGGGTAGGGGCATGTTAGGACCAGGGGTGTACTGAAAATGTGAGGGACTAGGGTTGGGTCGGGTCTTGGTGTAGGGGCATGTTAGGACCGGGGGTATACTGAAAATGTGAGGGACTAGGGTTGGGTCGGGTCGTGGGGTAAGGGCATGTTAGGCCGGGGGTAGGGGCATGTTAGGACCGGGGGTGTACTGAAAATGTGAGGGACTAGGGTTGGGTCGGGTCGGCATAAGCACTATGTAGTGCGCGAATTGATGGCATAGGTAAGAACACAGGTGAGGGAAGGGGGTAGGACACATATAAGTACGTGCGTGACGGTTGTGTCATCTGCAGTTGTTAGATTTTACTCAAAGTGACATATATTCTAGTTCGTCCATAGTGTTTCTTAAAGGATTTAATAATTTGAGTTTTTATATATGTAAAGAAAATATGGCTGGCATCAGAAACGTTTAGGATGGACACAACTTGCATTCGTTTTTTATCCAAATATTTACCTGTCCAATTCGGGCATACATTGTTGACCCGTCGAACCACAATGACCTGTCTAACAAAACATTGACCTGTCCACCTCGACATACACAATGTTTACCTTTTGATCGTCTAGCGAAGCATTGATTTAGCCACCTCACAATGACATACACAATTTATATATTTTTAACCTGTCTAACAAAACATTAATCTGGCCACCTCCACAGATGTCTTTGACCTGTCTAACAAAACATTGATCTGGCCACCTCCACAGAATGTCTTTGACCTGTCTAACAAAACATTGATCTGGCCACCTCCACACAATGTCTTTGACCTGTCTAACAAAACATTGATCTGGCCACCTCCACAGATGTCTTTGGCCTGTCTAACAAAACATTGATCTGGCCACCTCCACACAATGTCTTTGACCTGTCTAACAAAACATTGATCTGGCCACCTCCACACAATGTCTTTGACCTGTCTAACAAAACATTGATCTGGCCACACCCCATATATGTTTTTGACTTGTCTAACAAAACATTGATCTGGCCACCTCCACACAATATCTTTGACCTGTCTAACAAAACATTGATCTGGCCACCTCCACACTTTGACCTGTCTAACAAAACATTAATCTGGCCACCTCCACAGATGTCTTTGGCCTGTCTAACAAAACATTGATCTGGCCACCTCCACACAATGTCTTTGACCTGTCTAACAAAACATTGATCTGGCCACCTCCACACAATGTCTTTGACCTGTCTAACAAAACATTGATCTGGCCACACCCCATATATGTTTTTGACTTGTCTAACAAAACATTGATCTGGCCACCTCCACACAATATCTTTGACCTGTCTAACAAAACATTAATCTGGCCACCTCCACAGATGTCTTCCACGACAGCTCCGAGAACCTGAGTAGTTCTGGCTCCAGCATCACCACCATACCGACCAAAGGTGCCGCGGAGATCCACACAGACAACAGGTACTCGGGCGGAAGTGATTCTCCCGACCTCCTCGGCTGAGCTGACCGGTAGTGACGTCATGGCACATGTGGATCAACCCATCGTTTGGAAGCATTCGGCTGTGTGGCTCTTAAGTACAAATGGTACTCATCATTGCTTTTTTTTTCTTTTTAAAGAAATATAGCAAACAAAATGTAAACTGGTTCTGAAGACTTTTTCATCAGTAATTTTTGTATCGCAGATTTCCTGTTGCTATTGACGTTGCTTCAGTGATAGACAAAAAAAAAACTTTTTCTTGATATTTAGCATCTTGGTGCCGTTTATGTCTTTGACTGAAACCACAACTTGTGGTTTGTGGTGGCTTGTCTGGTATCTTGGTCAAGCTGGTTACTACTTGCCATGTCTGTTTTAAAAAACTACAAGACTTAATGTTTGACAGGCAACAGTTGTAATGACATCTTGTTGGTGAGGTTCTGTAGGCTAATGACAAATTTCTTTTTACAGTTGTACAATTGGCTAAGTGTACACAATGTATGATTGAGATGTATCTGTTAAAAATGTTAACAAGTACTAATGATTGATAATGTGTTTTGACTTTTTAAATTGACTAAAGACACATTGTTTAAAATGTGTTTATATTATATTATGTGTTTAATTTTTAAACTGTTTAGTGTATTTTGTTTCAATTTTTAAAATATATTTTTCTTTTACCTAATAGAAATAACCAAGTCACCTATATATAAGGTTTAAAATTATCAGTAGCGTCACTAATGTTAGCTGACTCTGATGAGAGTCACCAATGTTAGCTGACTCTGAGGTCACTTATCAAGTGGAGTATGTGCTTTAACATCAGGACGATGTTATTAACATTTCATCTTTGTCTCCTCTTGGTCTATGGTCTGAAAGAGATTATGACTCTACATGACAAGTGTTAATCTTGGACCAGGCTTTTATATTTCTACATTGATATGAAAACTTGTATGTACCTGGTCAAACACTTTTACTTCATGATTCTGATAGCAGCTGTTGTTACCTTTTTAAAAGTGACATGACCATTTGTGTGATCTTTTAATAGCTATGTAATAACAGGTATAAATAGTTGTCTTAATATTTAGACCTAGCAAAGTTAGAAGGTTTCTTTTTTTAAAAAAAAGTTTTATTTTTCTTACCTTCTCAAATTGATATTTTTAAACATGATTTTTACATTCTTTCCTACTTTCTCATGTTTTAGACTATGAGAATTACAGCACATTTTCATCTAGTTAACAGATAATAAATGTGTGCATCTCAATGGTTTTCATGCTATTTATAAAGAATTCTTTGCCATATGTTTTCTATGACACAATGTATGACACATGTCATGTCTGACAGGGTGTCTACCACCATGTCTATTGTCATGTCTTACATAACACGGTGTATGGTAACATTGCTCCTGTTAAATATTTCCCTACTAGCCCCTCCCTTTACCCTTCCCGCCCCATCATAGCGGAATTTCGTGCTTAAATTTCTGAAATATTTGTATTTTAAATATGTTTATGACCATTTTTTTTACTTCCGGGTACTCTAATGAACTGGGTCGGCTCAAATAAAACTTCCAGTTCGACAGAGATTTGAACCAGGGCTTGTACGGCGATCGTACTCTCTGTTGCCAGGCTGCCATCTTGATAGGGATTTGAACCCAAGTATCTGTAGCTCACGTTTTGTGTTGTCTCCCTACCAGGATAAAGGATTGTGGATGGAAAGTCCTCTCCATCACGTAACAACCTATATTTAAAAATAGAGGTTCTGTAAATCAGAGTGGCTTGTTTATTTTATTTTCTTCTTGTAGTTATAACACTAGTCATTAGCCTGGACCCCTTCTTTCCTCCCCCCTCCCCACAACTACAGCATTATAAATAACAAAGGACTTGTAAGACTATCTAATACATAGGCTACAACATTTCCATCACAAAATCTACACGAAGAAATTTATTTTTATACATAAAAAACTGCTCATTCTTACAAAAAATCTGTCTAAAAACTTTTATTTCAGATTAAAACAAATTAATTAAAAAGATATTTCAGTTTTTTTTATTTATTTATTTTTTTAAGATTTTGCAAAGATTTGTGTAATCTTAGCGCTTAATCATCATAATCTTATCGTATTTCTAATTAAATTACTTTAAACCTGGGACTATCAAGAAAGATGTCGTGAACTACTTTTGTATTTGTTTTCACCTCTATAAACATTTTTAACCATGTATTTTTATGCTGACTATTCAGCTTGAATTAACGTCATTAAATTGATCAATGCAGTAATGTGTTGTTTGTGTGTGTTATGATCTTATCAATGCAGTAGTGTGTTGTTTGTGTGTGTCCTGATCTTATCAATGCAGTAATGTGTTATTTGTGAGTCAATAACAGAAGTTAGCCCGTCGTTCCAGTTAAGATTCAAGCTGCTCAACTTTGGATTGTGTGGAAAATTACCATATCTAGCTGATAAACAGGCACTAGACTGGAATACCCAATGGAAGATTAAAGTAGGTAGATCTAGCCAAAACAAACTTGAAATAGATCAGCTGAAATGTCACTGGCCCAAGGTGGAGGAATTACCCAAAACAGAGTAGGATGGAGAGATGTGGTTACGTTATTAGGGTCAAGAAGAGGGCCACGGGAATGGTGATTGGTGGTCATATCTAGAGTCGTTTACTAGACACAGCTACCAATTGATGGCTAAAGCAACTACACCAGACACTATAGCTACCACATCTAGCTGAAGAAATTGGGCACATCTGCCACATCTAGCTAGCCACATTTACCACACGAAGATAACCACATGCACCAGATCTAGCTACAACAACCACACATGTCAGACACGCACCTATCTAGTGCCAAATTGGCCTCTAAAAAAAAAACACCCAACCAGTGGCGTACATTATTAATTCAGTTGAGCGGGTTCCAGCCTCCCCATGACCACCCCTCAGCACCTGCCCCCCCCCCCCCCACTCTAACACCCCCCTCCCCCCTGTACCTACTCGTCCAGAAACTAGCCCCTGGCGGGGAAGGTCCAAAACGCTCGTCCTTCTTTTTAAACCGGGACGCACGTGGCACTGCCGGCATTTTCCGGCCGCGCACCCGGTGCAGAACTGGCCAGGTAGATGGAGGGCGTGCATAATTAACGAATTTCTTACGCTTGAGTGCACAATGTAAATGCCGATGTGAATAAGTGACTAGTTTAGATGCTCGAGTACAGACTTTTATTAAATGACTCATTTCATATCAAGTCAAAATTGTGAGTGGGACATTGACCAAAGCAGTCATACGAATGTAGTCTTTGTATGCAAGGGTCATTTTACCTGGCATTGATTAGCTGTCGCTACATGCTGACCAGATGTGCGTTCTTGCAGTTGTAAAATGAAAATATTTCACTGATTTTTGCGTTTTTCTATGCTTTATTGTGAAGGCAGACTAGGAAATAAAGGGTTAATTTAGTAGGACGTTAGGACTATAGAGTTAATGTAAAAGACTTGAGGACGAGTGGGTTTAAGTTTAACTTTGTTGAGACTAAATACCTTATGGGTTAACTTAGTGAGATTTGGAGTAGACTGGCTAATAAAACGTGGACATGCAGTGATAAGTTCGTGACCTTTATGTCCTCACATGTAGAGCTAGGGATACAAGTTATGTTCAACACTGTATGTTGTAACGTCTTATGTAGCCATTTTGTTTTAATAACCAATTCAAATATTTATTCAGAGAGAAAGGTTAGTTTGATTTCCCTAGACTGTCAATGCGACAAATAATAGCCGAGAAATATTTCAGTATTTGGAGTATTTCTGAGATATGTATTTTGAATGTTTTTAAAGGCTCCTGTAAAGTAAAATCTGCAGGAAGCGGTTTGAGCTAACGTTCAGCTCAGCCTAAAGAGAAACCAGCAATAAAAACTGGTACCTACAGCCAAGATGATAAAACCAGAGTCTTGCATCACGTGCTGCCTGTGTTTTGGTGACGTCATACTGCTGAGTCAAAACGTCAAGAAATTAAATTCCTGCGTCCTGCAGGCGTTAATCCTTCCTGTGATAACCCGCAGTGAAAGGGTCCAATAAAAAATAAAGGAGTTTTGAGCTAATAAAATGGTATGTAAATATGACATTATCAAATTAAAAGCACATAATCCGAGACTATTAAAATAAAATACCTAAGTCTAGAACTATTTTTTTTAAAATACCTACGACTGAGAACTCACAAGATATTGTTTTTAAAAAGTCTTCTAATGTTAAACCCAATTACGACAAATTGTATTTACTTTCTCTTGTTTGTTTTTTTTTTTTTAAATATTCACGCTATTGTTATCATTTTTAAAACTAGACAACCGTCACACTGTGGGTACAGTGTTTCTTCCAGACTTTTGCCTCCGGGGGGGGGGGGCACTTGAAATCTTCGGGGGGGGGGCGGTAAACTTTCTTCGGGGGGACGGACACTGTTAAAAGTATATATTTTCTATATAAATTATATAAAGTTCATTTCGTTCGGGGGGGGGGGGGGGGGGGTGGGCGGTAAAAGTTTTTCGGGGGGCTAAGTCCCCCCGAAGAGATGCCTGGAAGAAACTCTGTGTGGGTAGCGATACTGCTAAAATCAGAACACATAGTCAAGCATCTATCAGCCATTGGTCACATTTTGTAGACGACACGTGACCTAAGGATATCCCACCCACCCAGTTTCAAGCGCCAACTGACGTCATTTCTTTTACCCAGAATTCAAATTAACGACGGTCTTGATTTTACGGCCTAAAAAATAAGGCCCTATCACAGACACAATAAGAAAATATTGACCACTAACAGTACCTGATACAATTTTCAAATATCCTTGTTATAATTACCTTCACGCAGTCGCTGATAAAAGTTAGAGCCTTGTTGTTATAATTACCTTGTGATTATGTTGGCTGTGTTACCATACAGGGCTGATGATGAGGACTAAAGCCACATAGAAACTGGTCGAGGGGGGGGGTAGGTTGGTGAAGCCCTAATTTAGTTCTATTCTTCTGGTAGCGGCACTGAGGCTGACTACTCCGGTGGATTGTGGGCTGTCATTAAAATCTGTTGTTGTCAGTCAAATCACAAAGCTTGAATTTCATATTTAATTTTCATTTTTTTTCTGGTAACATCAGCTTTTTTGTGTTATTAAAATGTGTTTATATTTTCATCAACTCATCAGTTTTAAGGTTTAATAACTGTATTATTTTTTAAAGATTATAACATCTTTAACATGATTTTGATTATGTCAGCTGATTATTTTTTTTTAAATTTAAAAATATTTTCAAAATTAAGCGAAATCGAATATTTAACATGAGGTCATAATAGTAACAATGTTCTTTATTTGAATGATTAAAGTATTGGTCTACCTTGGTTCAACACATTTTATGTTTTGTATTGAGTGAGAAAATACATTAAGTTCTACAGTATGAAAAAAGTCGAAATACACAACAATTTGATGGATGAGCTACATCTTGTTCATACATGCAGCTAATTTATATGAATTACACATTCGCGTTTGTTAGATGTTTTTAGAGCACAAAAGTTCGTCAGGATTTAAAAGGAGAAAACAATAACTCGTCAGGATATTAGGAAATCAGACATGGCATTCTAAGATAGAAAAAAACTTGTCTTCTACAACACGGAACAGCCAGCTGTTCGATGATTTATATAAGAAGCTGGGAGTCGGTAGCAATACATCCACAACATTGATTGATACTGTGTTTAATGTTGTTTGACTTTGTAGTAGATCGTGTCTGTTTACTCGCAGTAGTACACATGTAGTAGTTGTCTAGAGTAGTACGAGTTGAGTACTTATATAGGACCTATGTGGAACATGTGTTATTCACATATAGTACTCGTATAGTAACTAAATAGTATTCGTATAGTACCTATATAGTACTCCTATTGCAATTGTATAGAATCCATGCACAATACATGCAGTACTCATTTAGTATCAATATCGTACCCAAGTAGTACTCGTGATATATCCATGTAACACTCTTACAGTACATCATCAACTCCTGAATCTGTGCTCCACATAGCGCTGTATTATGTTGTCTATGATTGTTTAACATCTGCCTGTAGGCTAACATGATTCTGTTTAACTATGAGAGGGTGGGGGAGTTGAGGTGGAGGCGGGGTGGGGGTGGGGGTGACGACTCCTCATGATAAAAAGACACGGCACCTAAAACTGATTAGCCCACGCTCGTGTCTGTTTTCTCGTGAGTTTGGGATCTAATGATGCTCATAATGAAACCTTGGCCACATGGCCACATCACCGTGGGCCACCGCACCTTGGAGGCCAGTTGTGGTGCACCGCATGGCCCCGCGTGTGAAATAAAAACACCGGACTCCAGCCGTCATGGGGTTAACATTTCCTTCATTTGTGTTAGGGTTAACATTTCTTCCATTTGTGTTAGGGTTAACATTTCCTACCGCCTCCATTTGTGTTAGGGTTAGCATTTTCTACCGCCTCCATTTGTGCTAGGGTTAACATTTTCTACCGCCCCCATTTGTGTTAGGGTTAACATTTCCTACCGCCTCCATTTGTGTTAGGGTTAACTTTTCCTACCGCCTCCATTTGTGTTAGGGTTAACATTTCCTACCGCCTCCATTTGTGTTAGGGTTAACATTTCCTACCGCCTCCATTTGTGTTAGGGTTAACTTTTCCTACCGCCTCCATTTGTGTTAGGGTTAACATTTCCTACCGCCTCCATTTGTGTTAGGGTTAACATTTCCTACCGCCTCCATTTGTGTTAGGGTTAACATTTCCTACCGCCTCCATTTGTGTTAGGGTTAACATTTCCTACCGCCTACATTTGTGTTAGGGTTAACATTTCTTCCATTTGTGTTAGGGTTAACGTTTCCTCCATTTGTGTTAAGGCTAACATTTCCTACCGCCTACATTTGTGTTAGGGTTAACATTTCCTATCGCCTACATTTGTGTTAGGGTTAACATTTCTTCCATTTGTGTTAGGGTTAACATTTCCTCCATTTGTGTTAAGGCTAACATTTCCTACCGCCTACATTTGTGTTAGGGTTAACATTTCCTCCATTTGTGTTAGGGTTAATATTTCCTCCATTTGTGTTAGGGTTAACATTTCCTCCGTTTGTGTTAGGGTTAACATTTCCTCCATTTGTGTTTGGGTTAACATTTCCTACCGCCTCCATTTGTGTTAGGGTTAACATTTCCTACCGCCTTCATTTGTGTTAGGGTTAACATTAAGTACCGCCTCCATTTGTGTCTAGGTTAGAAATTTTATATCGGCTCCACTACAAAA